GTGGGCTGCTCCGGCCGCCGCCTGGTACTGGAAGAGCGAGCAGGGCGCGGCGAGCTCGGAGCCCTGCGGTCCCGGCGACGGGAGGTAGTAGCGCTCGGAGCTCAGGCTGTCCATGGAGTAGCGCGCGCTGGCGGCCGCGCTGGCGGCGGAGGGCAGCTCCTCCTCGGCGCACGGGGAGCCCTTGCGGCCGTCCGGGGGACCGGGCTTGACCACCACCGAGGTGCTGCCAAAGGTGTCCCCGGCGTCTGCGTCACTGAGCATGGCCGCGGGGGCCCCCGTGCCGGCGCCTGTGGGTTCTGCACTCCCCGCCTGGCACGGGAGATTGCCCGGAAACTTCTTGGACGCTTTGTCTAAATCCAGTCTCTGGGGCGAGGGAGCAGCACCGGGGAGGAGGCTGACGCTCCCGCCACCTCCCCCTCCTCCGCCTCCTCCGCCACCTCGCGCACTCTCCAGCGAGTAGAAGTGCGCGCCAGGCAGGTTCACGGAGCTCACCAGGAGCTGCTCTCCTAACTGCATGCTTTTGCGATTCGCAGACGGCAGCCGGCTGCCTCCTCGCCTCCCGCGGCCTGGTTATAAAGGCCGGCTGGGGGAGCCAGCGCCCTCTTCCGAGGGGAAGGTAACGTCCCCTTCCTCCCTCGCCCGGGCTACCCACCTGGGGACCTGCGGGGCGGCTTCAGCGCGCGCCCCGAATCCAGCGTCCTTTCTGCAAGGGAACAAACCCCGGCTTGTAGGTGGGTGATGGAAACTGAGCAAGCAGCGTTTCCCTTTCCTTCCGTCTTTCCTTGTCTAGCTTCCAGGACCCCTACACTCACACCAAGGAAGAGGACTCAGCTCTGAGTTCCTATTAAACAACCAGCCCGCTTCTCTCTGTTGGCTCTGCGGTGCTAAACCCTAGGGCTACTTGACTGCTTGGAAACTTACAAGCTGTCGTTGGCTGCTTATATGCGTGCTGCCAGGGAGGGGCTTCGCAGCCCCACGGCTAGGGGACTTTGCTATTGGCTGACAGAGGTGACACTAATTCAATTAAGCATTTATTAATTGGATCGAGTTGCCTGCAAGTTTCTTTTCCTCCCCCGCCTGTTTGTTTGGCTGTTGTTGTTGGTTTGGTGCTTTTAAGTTTCTTTGGGGGACCTATAACCCACTGTGAGAATCAATCCCGGTGTCTATATGGCGCTGGAGTTTAGGTTTTGAAGTCCGCATACCTCGTCTAACCCTAGGCTTACGGGTCATTCCTGCACTCGGGTCTAGTTTGGCAAAGGCAGGTCCTAGAGGCCCGAGCAGAAGTCTCTGAACGCTCCCTGCTCGCCGGAAGGCACAGGTTCCCGAGGGTGCAAATCTGGGGGCGGGTTGGAAGGCGACCCAAAGTGTGTGCGTCAGACGCTGTAACATCAAAGCGCACCTTCCCTCTGACTTCCTGGCCATCCACACACAGGAACCGCTTTTTGTTCTGGCCCATCTTTTTACCTAAAGAGTTAGTGGCGAGAAACCTTGCGCTCGGCGTTTGGGATTCCTGGGATGACGAAAGATAGTCGTGTCTTAATCAGAAGGCCGAGTGCTGTGGGCTACTGAAGATCCAACAAGAGTCAGACCGAGCGAATCAAGCGCTTACCCTCGCATCCACGTTAACAAACTGGCTTTCCGGGGCCATCATTTTCATCGTTTACAATTAAAAAAAATCCACACTGCTCGGTTTTCCTGAACTCTGGATGATTTCTACCTCCCCCAAGCCCCACTTTTGCCAGCTTCTTTGGTGGGGACTGACACCACGACACAAAGGTTCCCTAGCAGCTGTGCAGTTAAGATTCCCTGCGCCTCTTCTCTGCGGCACAATACCGAAGGCAGAATAATTAGTGAAATAATCAGTTTGATATTGAATTAAGCTCCTTTGCCCAGCTGCCTGTTTTTCCCCCCTGCGTTTCCGCAGACAGTCAAGGACGGTGCCGTCATATTTTATTGTTTTATTATTGCAGAAGGGGGACACGTTTCGTTGCAGATATAAGAAGACCGAACATTCTCCTTTAATAAGCAATTACGGACGCCTGCAGTAATCGCTCAGGGAGCGCATTTTCCGGTCGAGATGCAGTAACTCTGCTTCCCCCTAACCGAACACGATCACACGGGAAACTTTTTGCCTAGAACAGATGAGGTGGCCGCGGGATCTGCTAAGCGCCCAGACCCCAGCAGTAGAACCACGCGAAGCTTTTTCAACCTGGTTCCAAACCCCGCACAGCACGAACATCCGCACGCCTGTATTAGAGCGTGGAGAGATCCTTCACGCTCTCAAATGCTGTGTGGGGTTTTGATGTGATGGTGTTGGGAATCTTGGGTGCTCGCGAAGGTGTTCAGCGCCAAGTCAGAGGCTAGCGAGTTGGAGCGATAGCCTTGTCAATTTTGGCTCAGAGAACCCAGGAGCTGGCACCCTGCGCGCCCAGCCCATGAGATCCCAGAATTTGGTCCCAGTTCGGCTCTGGCATGGCAGCCAGATCCGGTCACTTTACTGTTTTTGTTTTGTTTTGATCCAGAGAAATATTGGTGGTTAATTTTTATTCCCTTCAAAGAGTGCGAGATATTCAATGTGGGGATTCCTCCAGGAAAGGGCCTCAGCGCTGGCGGCTCACCCTGAGTTTTCGAATGACGATTTTTAAGTTCGTGTTAGCCTTGACCTGGGCTGCAGGACGTCTGAGGGGAAAGCAGGTGTGAGACTGAATCTCCCGTTATCTGCAGATGGGGTGACTAAAGGTGTATGTCAGTTTTGCACTTTAACGCAGCCAGAAGCAGGCTTTAGGGTCCCTTCAAAATGCTTTGAAGAGACCAGGGAAACGCTAGCGTGGCACAGTGCCACCACAGGCAACGGGCACCGTTCAGACCCACTCTGGCGCAAGTAACTCAGACCAGCTGTCCCTACAACCACATCAGAACCGGGTTCATTCTATCCTACCCCTAGAGCAAGCTCACGAAAGCGTGCAGGTTCACCCCGAGTACCACCAAATTATTAACTCCGTGCAATTCAATCTGTGAAACTAGGATTCAGAATTCTCATGGACTCCTGGGGGCCCCACTCTCAGTAATATATTCTTTCATCATATTTTTTGACACATTTTACAGATGGAAAAATAAAGAGAAATCCCACAAAAGTCAAAATAAGAGCGCTAGGAAACACTTTGGAACCCGGGTTTTGGGGGCATGGGGGAATTTATTAATATTATTATTGTGATTCAAAATCATCTGATGATTCCCCCCTTTAAAATGGTGAAAAGCACCATTTCCACTAAAAAATATTTTTCTGGCTTCATAAAGACAAAAAAACCAAATATTTCTGTGTTGATGAACTTATATTGTATTATTATTATTATTTATGGACTACATTGGTCTAAAGCGCTGGAGCATCATGGAGAACAAATCTATGATTCCTACTTGGAATGGGCTGTGTGCGTGTGTGTGTGTGTGTGTGTGTGTGTTGGTTCAGTAATACTCATAAATAGAGAGAAGGAAAATCAATGTTGTCTTGTGTCTCAGCTACACTTTAAAGTCCAAGTCTTCTTTTCCAGAAAGAGGCAGAGAAAACAAGGCAAAGGCAGTGATGTTGGGTGTCGGGCACACATCAGGCAGCACCTTGCTCTGACTGGGTGGGCAAACAGCAGACCCTTCCACTCTGTTTGCTGTTTGATTTCAATTACACCCCGAGCTTCGTGAAATCCAAATGAGACGTTTATTGAAAGGTGCCTGGTTTTCTGTGGTTTAACTGACAGTGATACACTGAACAAAAACATCAACACTGGGGAGGAGACCCCTGGCAACACCAGACCCCAGAGGTGCTTGGGTTCACTCAAATGCCTCTCTGCAGCCCGAGATGGAGCAAGCAGCAACCTCTAGAGGCTGAAGGAAGCCGAGGCCAAGCCTGGGTGTGAGCATATGAAAGACCTCGTACTGGTTTGTCCCAAACAATACCAACTTTATAATGCCAGCTTGCTTGTGGTGACAACAGCAACGTGGCCTGTGCCCTCTTGTCTTCCCTTCTCCTTAGAGGTAAGAAATAACAGGGCTTGAGTTTTCAGAAGTAAAACGAAGAAGCCATGGAACCACAGCAGTATCATGCATCTCTCTCTCTCTCTCTCTCTCTCTCTCTCTCTCTCTCTCTCACACACACACACACACACACACACACATGTAAATTTCAAAGGAGAATTATAGATTAGTGCAGTGACATGTGGTTAGAGCCCATCCACTTCCCCCACCCCTCATCCCCCACACAACTAAGGGGGCCCATATAAATGCCCCAATAAATTCTATTATTTTCACCTCCACTAAAAATGTGTTATCAAAACACGGTCCATGTTATTCAAACACTTTGTAAATTCTGAACAGACATGCTGCATGCTCCCCTTTTAACCCTAGGAAAACATTCCAGCATTAACGGGTCACCAGCACTTTGCCTGGACTCTGGGAAAATGTCAATGGGTTTTTTGTGGCAAGTTGGTTCTTTTACTATTTATCTATGGCCCTCTCTTTGTTGATGTTACATTTTATTTCACCATCTCAGGTTCACTGTTTGGCCCTTTGTTCTCCCATGGCCAAATCTGCTACCTCTGTTGTGTTTCCCAAAGGAGAGAGAGCTTTCTCCACTGTAAGCTGACTTGATTTCTTCCTTCCTTCCTTCCCTTCCTCTCTCTCCCTACCGACTTTCTTCCTTTTAGAAAATGTCCCATAAGATAAACATTTTGACAAGGACAGGCAATCCTTGAGAGCTCACAAACACAGTTTCACTTTTAAGAATGCATGCAAGTCTTTTCCTATTGGAACATTGAAATAAATGGGTTACCTTGCTTAAAAATAAGACATTACTATTCAGACTGGGACAGTCCATTCATATATCTATATTATATGCTGCATATGTCATACAACACAGCATATAATTATATAACACATTGATAATTTATATAAATTATATAATGTACATTATCTACGTATATAATTAAAAGGAGGCCAGAGGCCATGATTTGAGAGAAGGATACCTGGGAGGGGTTGGAGGGAGGAGAAGGAAAGAAGAAAATGCTATAATCATGTTTAATTTCAAAAAATAAAATAAATAAAATACCAGACCCACAACTGTGTGTGGCAAAGAAACATGGTAAACTCACTTATTTTTTTTTTTTTTGATACGATGGTCAAGTTAGATTATTATCTTCACTAGTGTTGCTGTAGTTCAGTGTTAGGATATGAAGAGGAGGGAGTCTGGAATAAAATAAACACATGTGTTAAGTTGCCTGTTGCAGACAATCTCTTCTCCTACACGTCAAGACAATACTCTCAGGAGGAAGATCTGTAATCTTCACTTGCATTTTTTATGAAAGTTTTCTTCTTAACTCTAGTGAATTTCAAGATCTAGTTGCTTTATTATCACATCTTTCCCCTTCATCCTGTTCTGGGAGTGCGTTTATTCACATGAATAAGGAAGGCCACAGGAGGCCAAAGTCAAAATGCTCTCAGCAAATAGATTTACTCGAATATTTGGTTAACCATTGCAACTCTGGAGTACAGGGCTTGTGTGGCGCTCCATCTGTGCTCCCGACTTCCTGTCCTCAAATCTCCTGGCACTTGCTTGGTGCTCATCTGCCAAGGCAGTCTGAGCTGGAATAACTGCCTACCACAGCTCCCAACCAGGCACTATGTTCTATGAACAGGAAGACTAAAGAGAAATTATGGTGGGCTTTTTGTATTTAAAAGAACAAGAAAACAGACCCTTCTAAATTAATAGACTTGACATTTTCACCCTATTTAGACTTAAAAGATAAAAAAAAAATGTTTAGACCTTTTCTACCTTCCAAGACTATATATTTGCTTCTGCATGGTCACCCTCCCCCTTGTATTTCAATGTTAATATTTCCTAGAGGAAAAATGGAGGGTGCAGATACTTGCTGGAATTTTTTATAGGGGTGATTATTATGAAGAACCAGGAAGTGGTAGTGCAGGCCTTTAATCCCAGCACTTGGGAGGCAGAGGCAGGAGAATCTCTGAATTTGAGGCCAGCCTGGTCTACAGAGTGAGTTCCATCTAGGATGGTCAGGGATACACAGGGAAAC